GTTATTCTCAGCTATAGTCAAGATAAAGACAGTGAGGGACCTCAGTGACCCGCAGCAACCTCACAGCGCGCCATCTGCCCACCCTCCTTGACTTCTGCATGGCCTCTGTTCCTTGACCTCCCAAACTTTTTCTTCTTTTCTCTATTCTTTAGAGATGAAAAACTAACAAGATCAGTCCTCAGCCACCACTCCCAGTTTTTTTTCTTTCTTTCTTTCTTTTTATGAATCTCATGCAGTGGGATTGTTTATCTGCTTTGGACAGGCAGTGAACACGAACGTGGGACACCCTCCATGATAAAAAATATTCTATAAAGATTACATCTACCAAGGAGACGTGACCCATTTCCAAACTTTCTCTTTTCTTCTTTCTTTCTTTCTTAAATGGGATGCCATTAAATAACCTAGGCTATACTGGAATTCACAATCCTCTTGCCTCACACTTCTGAGTGCTGGGATTGTGTGACACCAGTCCAACCTAATCATCATGGGATTTTGGTTGTGTTTGTTTGTTTTGAGACAGGGTCCCACTATGTAGACCAGGCTAACCTCAAACTCATAGAAATCCATCTGCTTCTGCCTCACAAGTGCTAGAATGAAAGGATTCACTAATCGTAGGAAGGTTTTTTAAGACAGGGTCTTGCTATGTAGCCCAGGCTAGCCTGGAACTTGCCATCATACAGCCCTAGCATCCTGAGAGCTGGAATGACAGGTATGCAACATCAGACCCAGCTCAGTTAAATCTTTTTTTTTAAGTATTATTTTTAGATTTATTCTTATTTTATTAGAACGCTGTTTTGTCTGCATGTATGTCTGCATATGACATCCATGCAGTGCCTAAGGAGGCATAAGAGGACATTGGGTTCCCTGAAACTGGAATTATTAGTTACAGGTGGTTATTAGCTGCCATGTGGGTGCTAGGAATTGAGCTAATTTCCTCTAGAAAAGTAGTCAGTGCTCTTAACTGCTGAGCCATCTCTCCAGAACCTAAACCATTTTTTTTAAAGTGGTCCATCAAGTAAGTTTCATTGTAATAACAGTGACAAACATGTATGTAGAGATGAGGAAATCTGAAACAGGTCCTTGAGATGGCTCAGCAGATAAAGGCTGCTGTCTCCAAAATGATCTGACTTCAATGCCCAGACCCTGGAGGAAAGAGAGAACCTACTCTTGCAAGTTGTCCTCTGTCTTCTGCCCAAAGGGGATTTGTACAAGTCCTTGTGTCCTCCACACACATGACACATGCACACAATAAACAAATAAATGCAAAAAAACTTCTTAAAGAAGTCTATATTAACTTAAAAAAGAAAAACAGAAATTGAGAAACTGGATGGTTCTAATAACAATAGTATCTTTGAGACAGTCTTGTTATATTGCTCAGGATGGCTTTGATCGCCTGGCTTAAGCAACTCTCTTGCCTCAGCTTGCTAAGTAGCTGGGACTATAGATGGTAACCAATGTACCCCAATTCCTACTAATATTGTCATAATTACCTAACAGCACCAGGGAGTACAACATCTGTACCTCTGCCACTGTGTGTCTTGACTCTCTGTGGCAGTCTCTCCAGACACCAAAAGTGCTTAGAAGTGCCCATGAGAGAGCACAGTGAGATGGTTCAGTGGGTGAAAATGCTTGCTGTCAGGCCTGAGGAACTAAGTTCCATTTCTGGGCCCCACATAATAGAAGGAGGGGAAGGATTCCTGAAAGTTGTCCTCTGATCTTCACATACATGACATGGTATGTGCATTACCCCCACCACCACCACAATCAACCAATTAATCAATCGTTTTGTTGTTGTTTGAGTCTCTCTCTCTCTCTCTCTCTTCCTCCCCCTCTCTCCTTCTTCATCCCTCTCCCCCTTCTCT